AAGTTTCAAACGTATTGCTTTAATTATAAAACAATGAATAGCGGCCTGTTTCAAAAATGCATGTAATTTTTTTTATTTATATGTATTATACAATTCGTAGAAATAAAATTGATTATTATCGTAAAGTGCAAACTGATGTATCCAGGTATTTACAATGTCTTGAGCTATACCCAGGGTACAAAAGTAGGAAGAGATAAATTGTAAAAAATAAAATTTTATATAATACTTGGTAGGGGTACTAATATAAAAAAATTTTTATGATATCTTATCGTTATAGGGGGATCTACTATATGGAAATAATCACATGATCTGTAATTTTTTTGGGTGGCGATTTAACCCCGGTTGAGTATCATACCAGATACTACCATCAATAATGTATTCACACAGATAAAACAGTTTATTTACTAAGAATAATTCAAGAGATATCAGGAACCAAAGTTAGGCACTTCTCCTATTTGGATCGATGCCTTATATATTATTATTAATTGCCAATGCATATCGACAGATTTGTGGAATTTGATAAATAGAAAAACCCATTAGCCGTAACTCTGGTCAAATTTACAGATTATTTGGCCAGCTTTGAAGTTAAGTAATTTCAAACCAGGCCAAATGATCTGCAAATTTAACCAGAGTTATGGCAAATTCCACAAATCCGCCAATATGAATAACTACTGCTATTCATGCAATCACTACTTTAGACTTAATTAAATCGTTGATAACTTGATATATTATACATTAATATGTATTCACACAGATAAAACAGTATATTCACTAAAGAATAATTCAAAGAGATATCAGCAATCAGGCTAAAAGGATCGTGTCATTCGATGTCCCAAAGTTAGGCACTTCCCCTATTTGGATTGATGCCTTATATATTACTAATCGCTAATGATTACTACTGCTATTCATGCAATCACTATTTTAAACTTTTTTTCTTTTTTTTTTAATTAAATCGTAATCACCCAATATATCCAATATTATAAAACAGTTTATTCAATAAGAATAATTCAAAGAGATATCGGGAACCAAGTTAGATACCTTATATAATATTACTAATTGCTAATGATTACTACTGCTATTAATGCAATCACTATTTTAGACTTTTAATTAAATCATGATCACCCAATATATCTGATATTATAAAACAGTTTATTCAATAAAAATAATTCAAAGAGATATCGGGAACCAAAGTTAGATGCCTTATATAATATTACTAATTGCTAATGATTACTACCACTACATTGTTCATACAGTCACTATTTTAGACTTTTAATTAAATTATAATCACCCAATATATTATGCATTAATTAGATCATGACATTCAACAATCACCACGTACCCAATCAGGTATCACGCAGCACTGCGACACTAATTACAGACTTCGAAAACTACAATTTTATATATGGGTTGTTTCATTTTTCCAAAATTATTCATTTTATTAGCAATGAACAACTTTCACAAAAGTAAGTTTTAGTATAAACCTATTATCTTTTTTTTTTTTGTTTTCTTATATTTAATTTTTATTTGATTTTTCTTAGTAATTGAAAAAAATTTCGAAGACTCCTTCAAAGTTTTATTATCAACAACCAAAAATTCATTGTTGAATACTCTAAAGCCTATCTGCTGCTTTCATAGGTAGATTTAGAAAACAATATAGCAGAAAAATATAGTATCGAGGCACAAAAAAAGGAGAATGCCGATGAAATTAAAGAAAAGGTATATAATTAATTAGCTAATTAATTAATTAATTAGCAAAGCTCAAGTGAAATTTTTTTACCAATAGATGAAGTCTGAAAGAGCTAATGAGGAATTAAGAGACTATTGAAGTGAAGTTCTAGAAAAGTGTGGTTTGGTAAATTTATATATTTTAAATTTGTAACATAGATATAGATAATATTTAATATTAATTTTTTTTTTTTTCTAGGAAGCAGATATTGTAAAACTCCATGAAGACAAAGAAAAACTATTAAAAAGTTTAAGGGATATAGAAAACAAGATCAAAGAAAGTTCTGAAAAAATTCTAAATATAACAAATAAATGGACACTTATTTTATTATATTGTGGCTTTGCACAATATTTCATAAAAATAATTCTATTTTATTTAAAAATATAGTAGATCTGGCAGAAACAGATACAAACCCATTAAAAGGTCTGGCAGAAACAAATACAGATAACAAGAATTATAAGTATATAAAATTTTTTAATTTTAATTTACAAAAAATATGTATATATGTACTTATGATTTTGATTCTATTCTTCAATAATACAAAATATTGATCTGGATAACAATTCGAATACTGGCAAAAATAACGACAATGCTAGTGAAAATAGTAAGTACTTAATATACATATAAAATTTTTAATTCTACATATTCTTATTTAAAAATATGCCATAATACAAGGCATAGTAGATCCGGATAACAATTCAGAAATTAATTCTGACAATAGTAAGTAAATTTGTATAATTGATTCGAATTATCGCATATGCATGTCTTGAAATAACACGCCTATATAATTTATTTGATAAATACAGTTGCCAGTACTTCATGTGATAAGTAAATTTTATATATATTTCGATATTTTACATTTGATATATATAACTATAACAATTATTATTATATTATCATTATTCTTCTAATTTATTTGATAAATACAGTTGCCAGTACCATGGTAAGTAAATTTTTATATACATTTCGATATTTTATATTTGATTTTTTTTTTTGAGTTAAGGAGACCTCTTTGGCCTGAAAGCTTTTATTAGGATTTGAAACGGTGTTTTATACGCAA